GGGGGGGTGAGGATGTTCGGGGGGGGGGCGGGTGAAAGAGCCAGCGCCACAAGCCTCAAGCCTGGGGTGGGGGTGGGGGTGGGGGGGCGCGGCTGTTCTTACCTGGACCCAGCGCTGCCCCTTGCGCCCGCTGTCCCCGCCGCGGCCGCCCGGAGGGAGAACGGGACCGGGAGCGCTCTCCTCCCGTCCGTCCGTCCTCCAGGCGGCCGCGGCGGGCCCTCCCGCCACCAGGTCTCCGACTCCGCTTCTCCTGCTTTCTGGACCAAGTACCCTAGGCAGGGGGCGGGGGGGAGGCCTTAGAGTCCGCCTCCGCTCCCCTCCCCGCTCTCCCATTGGCTTACCGGTCAGCCCGTCATGTTCTTTGTCTTGCCAAGGCAGCGCCCTGATCCGCAGTTAGGGTGGGCGCGGCGGCAGCTAATGATGCTGAGGCTGCAGCCAAAAGCCAGCGAGCTGTAGGTCGGTCCCGCAGTCAATCAATCAATCAATCAGTCATTCAAGGAGCCCAGGCACAGGGGCTCCGAAGACAAAAGCGAGGAGAGCCCTGCCCAGGGAGCTACCCCCTGCCATGGTACCTGGCCCTGTCCTTTGTCTCCAGGCTCCCCGAAGCGCCCACTCCTTTCCAGGGTCATTTAACTGAGCCTGTCCGCAGCCCCCATTGCCCCCACCCCCTCTTGGCTAACCAGAGGTTAGTTAGTAAGGCCTTCCCTTTCCCAGGGCCATTTTGGGGCTCTGGAGGCTAGGGACCCTCCCTTCTCCCCCCACTGAAAAACACCTATGAGAAGCAGTGTAGAACCCAGGCCCAAAGGGAGAAGACCCATGCAGAGTCAACTCTCAGTTCTTCTCCACCTGCGTACTGTCTCCGTGATCTTGGGCAAGACATTTGACTTCTGTGGGCCTCAGTTTCCTCATTTGTCAAACGAGGGGGTTGGTACTGATAGCTAAGGTCCCTTAGGCTCTGAATTCGTGATTCTATGCTCTTTCATTGTTTGAGATCAAGGTAGTTCATCCGGGTCTCTAGGCTTTTTTCTCATTTCGGTGACTATGGTTAGTTGCTTCCCCAAATTCCTTTCCTCCCTATTCCTGGCCATCATCCTTGGAGGACTTTAGAATTCATGATAAATACTAAAAACCTCTTCAACAGCAACATGTTGGCAAACTGCTTATGTGAGGCATTAAGGGGTACAAATCACTTTACATGTATTGCTCATTTGATCTGGTTCAGACCAGTTTAAACCTGGCCAAAATTGGTTTAAACTAAACTGGTTCAAACTGGCTAGAACCAGTTCTAACTGGTCCTGTTTTAGCTGGCTTAAACTGGTTTTAACTAGCTTAAACTGGTCTGAGCTGGTTTTAGCCTGTTCTAACTGGTCTGAATCTGTTTGAACTGGTTATTAATTGATTTGAACTGGTCTGTTTGCCTAAGAACATCAGAATTTGGACCTGGATAACATAACAGCTCACGTTTTTGTAGGGCTTTCAAGTTGGTGTTATTGGGTTTTTTAAATAATTAATTTATTTATAGTTTTCAACATTCACTTCCATGAGCTTTTGAGTTTTAAATTTTCTTCCCCTCCCTCCCCACCTCCCTGGGTTTTCAAGTTTTTAAAGCCCTTTTCTCACCATAACCCCGTGAGAACACTGTGAGGTTTTATTACAGTTTTATTTTCTGCCATTGGACCGTTGAGGAACTTCACGAGGTTCAGCTCTCTCAACTCCAATCCTAGCTGGTCCCACTGATTTTTGGCCCCTTATGGGACATTCCTGAGAGTCCTGAGAGTCACAAGTAGACAACAGGAGGCAAAATCATATAGACAGTGGAATTGTAAACTGAAAAAGAAAGTCAGGGTTGAGGTTATCAGGGCTTAAAGTCATAGCATTTGAAAGTCACTGCAGATATTAGGGATTATGTAGGCCATCTCTCTCATTTTATAAAGTAGAACTGTTTTTAGAAGGAAATTAAAGGCCAAAGAAATGAATTGGCTTCCCCAAGGTCACTCCACTGGCTAAGGGTTCTTTTTTTTTTTTTCCTTTTCCCTCTCACTAAATGACTGGCCAGTCTTTTTTTTCCCTCAGATATATATATATTTCTCTTACGTCATCTTTTACACTACTTCTCCTGAATGATTCCTCATTTGAAATTGGTTGTAGTCTGTTCACACCCACCACTTGCCTTTCTGTTACTTTTTGGGCAGGGGCATGCTGATAAATGTTTAACAACCAGCTTGGGGGGGGGAGGTGTTCCCACCACACACTTTTAAGTTTAATCTGTATTGTTAACATTTTTTCATCACTTTTAAAATATCTAGGCAAACAATAAAACAATAAATCAAGCCCTGGTTTGTAGAGTTGGCTGATTTCCTTAGGTGTAAATGCTCACACTGACAATTTAATAATCAGTTCTCTCAAGAGCTGGCTACAAAACACCCCTGCTTCTAGATGATCCTCAATTTCTTCAGGGGAATGCAGTATTCCCTGACTCACTGTCATACATACTAGGATTGCACTAGGGAGTAGGAATCTGCTTAATGAAATCTCTGGTCTGGGACTAGAAAAGAGCAGCCTGGTGGAAAACCCAGAATCACAGCCCAAGATAAAGGGCTGAAATTGTCAAGCTTTGGACTTTCGAAATAGACCAGTCAATGGAAGAGGACCAGGCCTGGGAGTTGGGGAAAGGTTGTCAAGAACTACAGAGCTAAGGCTGAATCTGAGGACGGGCAGGGAAGAAGGAAAAGGCTGATGTCCCAGGTCTAATTTGGAAGGGAAAAGAGGGGACACCAGGCTGTCCCAAAAATATAAAAACCATATGGTCTCCCAACTGCATGGGGGAAACAGTGTGATTTTTGTTGTTGGAGAAGATGTTTTCTGTCCTAGGAGGAACATTCCATAGCTTTACAGTTGTATCAGACCAAGAACTTGCCTTGTTCCTTCAGGTCATGTTTCAGAGTGATTTTTATTCCTTCTAGAGAAACATCTTATTATAAATTGCACGTTTGATCTAGGGGAATACCAAAGCAATTGCCAATTCAGAAAAGATTGAATCTAACGGGCTAGGAGTGAGCCTGCCACTTTTCATGTTCCATTTGCAAAATAACAAAAAATGCCAGCATGTGAAAGGGGGCGGGGTGGAAAGAGTTCCAATACAGGAATAGAATAATGTATGAACTCTGCCTGGTCTGTGTCATATCAGAGTAAAGTTAGATACACTTGGTTTTTTCTTTTTGTTTATTATACATGTCAAATCCATACATAAAGCATCAACAGTGACCCAAATGAATCCTTCTTTACAGACAACCTCCAATCATTCCATAAGCACATTCATTTCAGGTGAAAAAATTTTCCATAATGCTACTGTGATTGTTGCACTTCAAAGGTATTTCATCTTTCCTCCCCTACGTGCTCCATGAACAACATCCATTCCCATCAAATGAATAGCCCAGAGGTTCACTATTCCACATCTACCAATTCTAAGACTGTGGTGCACGCTTGGGGAAAAAGAAGAATTTCTTTTTCTTCCAGTGAAACCAGTGGGAGAAAAAGATCATGAATGTTTCACATGTTAACAACTAAAAATTACAGAAGGCTTTGTATATGTATTAATGGAAATGCTTGGGTATTTTTTTCAGCTAAGAGTAATGAGTATATGTGTGGCATTTCTTCTGTTTGGTTAGGCTCAGTTATTTCCAAATTGTACTATGCAAGTGATGACCATGATCTATATATATTTTGATTCCATATATTTTATTTCCTCTACCAATGCAGGTCAGCACCTTCTTCCCAGTTGCCAGTTTAGTTGCCTAAAGCAATACAAGATCATGTGACTTGCTCAGGGTCACATAAACAGCTTGTGTCAGTGGCAGGATGTGAACCCAAGTATTTCTGCCAGCACTGTTGGTGGCTCTCCACTACGCCACACGAACTCTCACTTTACTAATCATTTATTGAAATTGTCTTTAACTGTCAAAAGCTGATAACCTGTCATATGCCTTACAGCTCTTCATTAACACATTAAGGCTGCACCTATTCCAAAGTACCTGAAGGCTACTGTTTATTTCCTTTATTTGACCTTTTTTTCAAATCAAATCCAGATTTTTTTGGCCCATTTGCTGCTAAATGTGGGAGCAGCTTTATGGTAAGTCAGCATCATCCGCACCAGGAAAGGAAAAAGGGTATGCATCCAGAATATATAGGTGTCCAAATGGGATTTGTTGAAGGACATACATTTTACAGTCAACCAAGTCTTAGGAAGACTGGAGATGAAGGATACTGTGAATTCTGCAGTCTGTGTCTTGAAGTGGGCCTCCACTA